TAACTTTACCTGATTCAAGATCAGTTGGCCATGACTCATCAATAGCTTCTGCACATTTTTGTTGAAGTAAAAAAGCTTTCATTTTCTAGCGCTAGAGACTAAAGTCTCTTTTTGCATTAAAAACTTCAATTTCAAATTTTGAAGTAGTCATTTTAAGAAAATATTTAAATGAATGAATGTATGCAGATCAGCCAGACACTAGATAGCAACTTGTAATGCAGAACAAGAACATGTGTCACCACTCAAGGAATACACAAAGTACACAAATTGCAAGTTGACAGAGAGCAAGAACTTCAATTATATCACATTGTACACAATTTATCAACTGAAATACAATCACAGTAATGTATTAAGACAAATCATTTGCAAGAATCAATCAAGTGTATATAATACTGCAGTAGAAAATTTTCAGAAAACAAGAATTATCAAGATTCTTGACTGAAATCAAGGTAACGCTCAAATTCCAAACAACTCTCAGGGTTACTAGACAAAGGAATTACCAAGAGGCCAAGAATCAAGTTTTTACAAACACCAGGCAGAAAATTTAAATGGGTAAAAAAAACTTGATTAACACTTTTAAACGTAAAACATGAAGGATCTCATCAGATCCCCTTATTAAGATTTCAAGAAACACGAAATGCAGCTCAATAAGTAGTCACAACGTCAAGATCGACCACACGCAGTATCAAGAACCTCCTTCAAACACTCTGATACCATTGTTGGGACGATATTCACAAAAATTAGCTTACAAATCAACAAAAATATGCACAAAAGAAAACAAAAGTAAACTGTAAAAGTATGAAATCTTATTCATCAAAGTCCTCAGGCCAAAACACAGTCGATCAGTGCCTCAGAAGAACAACCACCATTCGAATACAAATCACAACCAAGATAAGGATTACAAGAGGTTTGAGCACTCAGTCTAAACCCGTATTTCACAAAGATCTCAGCCTTCACTCAATAACAGTTCACACAAGAACAACAACTCAACTCAAAGGAAATCACACGAGATTACAACATTTGAGAGAGAAAACGAAATCAAAAGAGTATTTTGATTTCAACAAAGAGAAGGAGAAAAAGACTCTCGAACAATGCAGAAACAAGGAAATGAAAAATATCTGAAGTAATATCCAATGTGCAAATCCTAGAAGCCCCTTATAAGGGTCACCCAATGGTATCCAATCCAACAGCATAGGAGGTGACACGTGGCGATATCCTGGGAGATCATTAATCAGGTAAGTTAAAACATGGCTTTAGGCATTTCTCCAAAACACGTTTTTGCACCAAGTTAATAAACCACAAAAACAGTCAGATGGGCAACTCAATTAATTCCATCCATGGGTTGTTTACATCATTGTACCAATTCCCTTCATGGAATTTGACACTTGAATTCATTTTTGTAGATGAAAGTGTCGTTCAGGTGTTAATGGGTTCATTCTACTTGTTCCAATCAAATGTTTAGAATATTTCAAATGCCCGACACTAGTTTAATTATCAAGATATTCCTTATAACACATGGTTGGAAATAGTTACTAACCGTGCCAGCAAGGGCATATATAGTTTACTCTTGTCAAGGGATGGCCACGGCCCTCAAAGTTTAGGTTCCCAGAAAGTACAGCAGCTGCAACAATGTCTATAGAGCATCCATAGTTCATGATATAAAACAATCTCCCATTAACATAAATGATTGACAATCAATAAGAGAACCAAAGAACAAGATTATGGTATACCATTTTCTGATATAACAGCAGTAACTAATTCATCTAATTCCCCAGAATTTCCTATGTATGTTGTGCAACCATAGCCCACAATATGGAAGCCTTGTTCATTTAAATACTTTTGTAGCCCACCACATTGCAAAACATACATATTCACATGTGCATGTCAAAACAAATATCACGTCATAAATCTAAAATCATGAGCTATACCTCTTCTGCAAATACTTCGTAACAACTCCAGAGCCTGGAGTAAAGCTCGTTTTAATCCATGGTTTTACCCGACATAATGTCTAATAAGTAATCAATTATAGAAAACATCAATGCAATTGACCACTCATCAGAACGCTACCCACCTGTAAACCAAGCTCACAAGCTTTTTTGGAAACTAGGGCTGCCCCAAGCATGACACTGGGGTTTGACATATTTGTACAGCTCGTGGTATTAGCAATCATGACACTACCGTGTTTAAGCTCAGCAGGTTGTCCATGGAATGAAAATTTTTCTACTTTTTCTTGTACCTCATTTGGCATAGTAAATCTCCGAATGAAACTTGCATGTTAATTCAAGATGGGGAGTATGATTATTGAAAGAAGATTACACAAGTATCACGTGTACAATTTAAAAAGATCAATCTACTGTTGACTTATATTATAACAACAAAGTCAATACCCTATCCATAAGACTGGCTACAAATAATGCATTGAGTTAAGCTCCGATATAAAAAGATTCTATTCAGTAGTAATTGTGGTCAAAATCCTATATTCTCTCGTCATTTTAAAGATATTAACATCCGAAGCTTAGAGAAACAACAACCAAAAGCATTATAACTTTAAGGTGGACAAAGTGAATCCTCACCTTGAATCCAACTTTGTTATCAAGGCATGAGTGCCAATCAACCTTCATTTCTTTTAAAGGTACCCGATCATGAGGTCTATAATGAATGATAAAACAATAGTTAGCGACCACTGATCATATGCAACATTAAA